TTAAAAATATATAATAATATAATAAAAATTATAATAAAATAAACAACAGGGAATTTTCTTTCGAGGCTCTAAACTACTCCTTTATGTGCTTCTGTCTTTCGTTACTAAAATCTGTTACCTTTCGCTTTTTCCTTTTTCCCTATCCCTCTCGACAGAACTACGGTATATTCGACATAATTTCTGATAGTATAGAAAAGGTACTCTCGCAACCTAACTGAGGACATCTTTGTCTCCGGTGTTTTTAACGCGCATTACGACACGTAGTTTAAACATTCTAAAGGTATTGATTTTGCTGGTATTCAGACATTAATTTTTTTCCATTGTCCAATCCCTTACTCAAATCATGGACTTTTATAGTCGTTTTCCTAAAAAAATCGAGCACCAGGCCTTTCTACAGGATTTATTTCTTACCTCCTCTCCTCGCTCTTGTCGAGCCTCGCAATACTGTCCTCTTGATAACCTATTCCAATCATTCGTTAAACATGAAGTCCCTATTCATAAGAATTTTTTCCTTTGCCAGCATGCTTACTACGACTCGCGGACTCCCAAATGAAAATTGCCCTACTAAGGTTTCTTTTTGAGTCAAAGCCGATTTGGAAGCTTTCATCCTTTCTCGGAAATACCTGGTGAAACCTCATTCCTCTCTATGGTTCGCAACAGCACGTTTGGACGCTATAGCACACAGGAGTCACTATTTTCGGCTATACCAGTGTGGCAGCTCACGTCACAACAGGTGCTTATTCGTTACTGCTTGTAATAAATAAAACCGACTCCTCGAAGGATCCAAGTCCCTTTGGGACGAAAGAATGAGTCACCGCATAGCCTCTAACAACTTTGGATTTCCTGATTACTGGCAGTTCTGTAATAGGGTATTAAATAATTGTAAGTTCTCCTTCTCCGCTGCTTCAATCAATTGCTATAATCATCTGCTGATAAAGCTCAATGCTTTGCCGGTAAATTCTCCTCAAACTCTACACTTGACTCATCTCGAGTATCCCTGCCTTACTTCCCACTTACTACTGAATCTCTGTTGACTGATATGCATATGTTTCTGCTATCATCTCTAGTCTAGACCCCACAATGCATGTGGACTCGATGGCATCCCTGTAATATTTATTAAGACCTGTCCTCCCGAACTGGCTCCTGTTCTCTCTAAACTGTATAATACACGACTCGCTGCGTCTTAGTTTCCTGCCTGTTGTTCCAGTTTTTAAGAACTCTGGTGAACCGTCTGATCCTTCCAGCTATTAACCTATTAGCCATCTACCTCTTTTGGGGAAATTCCTAGATGCCCTAATCAATGTTGAATTGGTTTATAATCTATCATTACAGAGCCTTTTATCAGACAAGCAATACGACTTTCGTTTCTCCAGGTCTACTGCTGATGTACTGAAGGTAATTGCAGAAATAGCCTATTATGCCCTAGATAAAAACGGTGAAACCTGAGCAGTAGCACTGAACACCTCGAAGGACTTTGAAAGGGTCTGGCATACAAGTCTTCTCTGCAAAGTGAAAAATTACGGTCTCTCCATACACATTTTTTAGATGATCCGGTCTTTCCTATCAAATTGTGAAATGAAAGTTATCTTGGGCGGCCACACGTTTAGATCCTTTCGTGCAAACGCATATTCACTCAGAGGTTCATCCTTGATCCTAATTGTTCGGGTGAGATTTTCGCTATCGTATGAATTTAAGCGCAGTACTACACTGGTGCCGAGATCTCATCAATTTACAGTTGAGCACGCTAGATGGAGCCGTAAGTTCTATGCTAACAGTTTCTTCTCTCGCACTTCTCGTTAGTGGAACTCCCTTCTGACTCCACGCTTTCCGGACAAGGTTAATCTGCAAAAAATTAAATACAATGTCAATCGCTATCTACTGTCGTCCTGATTGCTCTTTTCTCTTTCTTCTCATTGTTACTGTTTCTGTTATTAATTCTTCCACACCTTGTAATCACTTGTGTTTTAGCGGCTTTACTGCCTTGCTTGGGGTGATACCGATTAAAACAAAATTTCCTACGACGAAAAATATACTTCCGGATTGTCATAGAAAGAGGTGACATTTACTAGCGAGTTTGTCCGCTAAGCCGTTGGTGCTTAAAAAACATGCCCGCACGTCCATGTGCAATTATTTCCAGTGTGAAATTGTAATTAATGCAGGTGTTTCGAATCCGTTTGCAAAATCCTTTATCTGCGTTCAACCAATTATATGAAGCAGAATTCTGTTCCAATGAGAAGAGCGCTTATATGAGTAACTGATAGCGAAAACTGTGATCTTCTTTCGGTTGGAGGAGACGCATTTAATCAGACTGATAAACCATTGACTTCTCGTCTCAGTTGAACACTATCTCCAAATTGTGTCTGTATATTTTAAACTTGCATCAACACTACGAAACAGCATGTATGTTCAACACTTACTGAATACCTATTAGTATATATATATATATATATATATATATATATATATATATATATATATATATATGATTAAATGGACAAAGTCCGACAATCATTTTAAGACATTTTTATGTTGATACATTTTTACAGATACAAATATTTAAGTAAATGTTCTGCTTATAATAAACAATATTAAACTACATTTACCAGCCTGAATCGAAATATTGTTTAATACTGCTTATTATAAACAGGGCATTTACTTAAATATTTGTATCTATAAAAAGAATGTATTAACATAAAAATGTCTTAAAATAATTGTCGGACTTTGTCCATTTCATAATGTATGACGTAATTTGTTTACATTTGATACGCCATGAGCAGATATGAATGTACGTGAGAGATTCATGGAAGATTGTAGTTTAAAAACAGTAAAATCGACCTTGCTAATCAAACGCTCCTTTGTGGCCGAATCGGTTAAGGTACGTCAGGCTATATGACAATTCCGTATAGGATACAGGTTCGATTCCTGTCGGAGGAGGAATATTTTCTATGAAAATTTCTCGGACATTCAAGCCGTTAAATACTGTTTATTATAAACAGATCATTTACTTAAATATTTGTATCTATAAAAAGAATGTATATATATATATATATATATATTACTAACAAATGACGTCTACATTAACGGTAATATTTAATTTAGGTAAAAGTTTGCAAAACATAATTTAGTAACTAATTTTTCTGTGCTATTTTTTTTTAATTCAAATTTTAAAATGACCTAAGCAGTATTTTTGTTTATAAATTTGTATTTTTAACTGAATTGTGTTTGTATAAAAACATTTTATATATGCTGTGTCGAAAATCAGCTGTAAAGATAGAACCTATATAATGTTCATAATAAGCATTGTTGTCATCTGATATTTCATATTACTACAAAATTATGTTTTTGGTTATTATTATTATTATTATTAAAACAATTATCAATATAAACATCAAAAATCATTCAGACAAAAAGAATATTTTTGACAATAGCTTTCTTGTTGAAAATATTGTTTATATATAAACATTTCAGAGCACTACAAATGAAAAAAGATTTATTCCTATGTTTTATATATATATTTAAAATAATAGGAAAGAACAGTGATATTTATAATTCAAAGTTCTTAGCTTTTATTTTCATTTAAAAAAAAAAGGTTCTTAAAATAGCTTGATAATGGAACGAAACTCTGTATTGTAGATTTTTTTTTTTAAATTAATCTACATTTGAAGTTTTCCGTTTTGAAACATAATCTGTGTCGCGATGGAATCATATTTTTTTTTAAAAATAATTATAATACCTATGTTTTATAGATTTTACAAAATTGTTTGATAAAGTATGCCACAGCAAATTCTTGAAACTGCTAGGTAACCTTGACATATTTGGGAAGGGTATTAGAATAATCCAGAATCTATACTTGTAGCAAACCGCGTGCATAGAAGTAAATTCAGTGAATATAAAAAAATGAAAGAGGTAAAAGATGAGGATGGGTCGTCTCCCCATACTTATTCAAACTATGCAGCGAGGTGATTCTGAGAGAATTAGAAGTCCTACCAGGATTTATTATCGACGGCCACAATCTTAACTGCATAAGATATGCAGAAGAAATAGTGTTGACAGTAGACAATGGAATCTATCTGAACTCCAAGAGAAAGTAATGAAAAAAAATAAGAAAAGACTAAACAAAAATATATGGTTGTCAGCAAGGAACATCTTAAAATGCAACTTATAAATTAGACATGCCAAAATCAAGCAAGTACAACAATTTAAACAACTGAAAAGTGTTTTAACTGAGGAGGGAAAGTGCAAACACCTAAATCCAAAGAAGCGTTGGGAAAGCTAAGCAATGTATTAAGAAACAGGAAAAGATCGTTAGAAACAAAGAAACGAGTACTGAACAGTTACGTCATGTCAATCCTCGTATACGGCAGAGAATGCTGGACAATCAACTTATGGATGAAGAACAGACTCAAACATGTTGTTCTACAGAAGGATGCTAAGAATACCGTGGGAAGAACATTGTTGAAACTTGACTAATGCATGGAATAATAATGCAACACAACATGTACTTAGAACAAAATGTATTGAAACAAGAAAGTGTACACAATATTTACATATAGTCTTTTGTATATTCCTGGTAAGACCGTTCCTGGAGAATGTGTTGACTGAGTCGCAGTCGGGCAGAGTCTCTGGTTGAATCTCTTGATTCCCCCCTCTCTTCCCGGTACAAACCATATTTATATGGTCGGTACTCCACTATGCAAATTAGGTGGATCCTACCACAACAAACATGTGACGAAGTTTTAGGGAAATGAAAACCAAATGACACTTATACTTAACACCCGAAAGAAAGGGTTGACCTTTCTGGGGTACATAATGCGGAAAGAGGGCTTGGAAAATTTGATACTCACAATATATATTAAAGACAATAGTGACAGAGGAAAACAGCAAATAACCTACCTAAACAACTTGTATAAATGATTGGGAGAACGAGGTTTAGTGGGCAAAAAATAAAATTTACTAAGACCTACGAAGGACAGGAAGTTTTGAGTAGCCATGATGCTAACGGTCTGAAGGGACACGGCACATAGAAGAAGAAGAAGAAGAGAAGAAGTAGAAGAAGAAGAAGAAGAAGAGAAGAAGTAGAAGAAGAGAGAAGAAAGAGATAAAAAGAGAGAAGTAATAGAAGAAGAGAGAAGAAGAGGGTAGAAGAAGAAAAGAGAAGAAGAAGAGAGAAGAAGAAGAAGAAGAGAGAAGTAGAAGAAGAAGAGAGAAGAAGAGGAAGAAGAGAGAAGAAGAGAGAAGTAGAAGAAGAGAGAAGAAGAGAGAAGAAGAGTGAAGAAGTAGAAGAAGGGAGAAGAGAGAAGAAGAGAGTAGAAGGAGAAGAGAGAAGAGAGAAGAAGAAGTGAGAAGTAGAAGAAGAAGAGAGAAGAAGAAGAGAGAAGAAGAAAGAAGAAGAGATAAGAAGAAGAAAGAAGAAGAAGAAGAAAGAAGAAGAAGAAGAAGGGTGTAGAAGAAGAAAGAAGATATAAGAAATAATGTTTCTCTAAATATTTTTGGTGTTTAAAAGAAATCAATAAAACCCCCACAGTAAAATGGAAAATATTAAAAAAACGAAAATTTGTAAGTCATTAAATGACCCATGACCCCTGTGTCTACATGAAAAGTTGCATATTATTAAGTTTCCTAAAATTAATGATCTATTAAATCAGCGGAATGAACTGTTATATGTAGGCATTGTATAATGTTGACTTTAAACTATAATTAATTGAATTTTTCATAAAAAATATGTATTACAATTATATATCTATTATTTTATTATATATCATGGTATATATAATATTTATTTAACTCCGTGATTTTTAATTTTAATATTGCCATGTCTTACGGCCCATTAAATATAATAAGTACTGCATTTTAGGATCAAAATAATATAATATATATAATAATGATTTAATTATACTAGAGGCCCTTTTAAGATAGTTCTAAAGTATATACAAAAATAATTTAAAAAAAAATATCCTAAACTTAAATATTTATATATATATATATATATATATATATATATATATATATATATATATATATATATATATATATATGTATGATTATTTCATTTTATCTTAAAATTATATTTCTTAACAGGAAGTAATAGTAACGTCTCTAAAATGACAATTCAAGACAAGTATGCATAGCACACACACACCAAACCTCTAACCTATATTTTTCACTTTTCTGCTTTAGCTTAGACCTTTCTTTTGATTGGTCAAACAGGACATACCCATAAAATATTGAAATCATGTTCCCACCTCCTTCTTAAACTCTTCAATAAAATACCATTCTGTTTTCAAAAGTAAATCATTTTCATCAAAAGTTAACTAACATCGCTTGATAATGGAACAAATTTAAAGTTCAGAAACATTTCCGTGTCGCGATGTTAAATATTTTTTAAGTAAAAATATTATTATTATATATATATATATATATATATATATATATATATATATATATATATAGAGAGAGAGAGAGAGAGAGAGGAGATAGATAGATAGATAGATAGATAGATAGATAGATAGATAGATAGATAGATAGATTTGTACCTTCAGAGAAACGCAATAATTAAGGTGTACAATGAATATGTAAGAACGAAAATCTTTCTTGAAGCTTTTATTTTAGTTTTAATTTCAAGCTTATAGATTAAATTTAATATTTTCAATAAGCAAAATACTTTACCAAAACTAATTTCAATTGACTGAAAGGAGTTTTTAATCGCTAAAATAGTTTATATTATCCTTTTTTTTAGCCATACGTCAGCACAATATAATTCGCTTTATTCAAAAAATCTTTCAAAGAGTAAAACATACTTTTCTCAAACTTTATTTTAGAAACATTAGATGACCTAATGTCTTAACGACTTAATGTTTAATCTGATTTGAAACTAATATTACTTTTAGTTTAAAATATCACAGGAATGCATTTTAACAAGTCAGCATCTGACAAAAAAAGTAAGTAGACATGTTAGTTTCACGACCACAACATTATCCAGGCGTCTTACACTTTATTTGTTGGATAAAATTACTATTACACAACTTCTGAAAACATATTCCTGTCCACCTTCAAAATACAGAAAAATACTTGTTGACAACACCAGTATACTCCACTATGAAAATAATAAACAAAAACTTCAAATTCTTGAGGCCCTCTATCTCAAAAGCAACCAACACTTAAGAAAATTTATTAGGAGTGTAGCAGCAACGTGTTGAATTGCATATAACAAACATTTAATGCCATTTTGCCTGCTACCAATTTCCGGGAAGCTCTTATATTAGGATGCCAGTTTTACAAAATCATCCATAGCAACAACGGATAAATTTAAAATTTTAAAATAATTATGACAGAGCGAGTTCACGCGTGTTTTATTTAATCACTCTCACAAGGAAATGCAGATTTTATTACGGTTACACTAAGTTTCTCTTTGTAATTCACTCCTAAGGATGATCTTGGAGGGTACCGAAAGTAATCGGGTAGGAAAAAACTACGGCGCCTTCCCTGATGAATTTCATGTTAACATCAAGAAACTGATTAGTGAACTGGAAAGGATCATTATAAAAATAAATAGACGTAATATGTCTATATTATTCAATTATATATATATATATATATATATATATATATATATATATATATATATGTGTGTGTGTGTGTATAGACAAGTTTTTGTCTATTTATTTTAAGCAAATTCCTTTCATATCGTCTGATACGCTTAATAACATTATCATTGAAAGACGAAAGAATATCCCCATATTGATACATGTTTTATAATCCTATCTAAGCTTTCGGCTTACATTACCCATCATCAGAGATGACAAGGACATTACAATAAATTAAACAATACACGGACATAGCAACAATGATAATCTGTTTTGTTTGCATGGAAGATTTCCAAGAAAAGACAAACTCGCGCATACGAGCCACTGGAAGCGAAATTCGCACCGCGGCCCATGTCATCACACATGACCACGCGAGAGTAAAAACAAGATTTGTTAATTATGGGAAGCTGTTGGTATAAACCAATGGCTCCTGTTATCAATTATAGGCATTTAAGTACATTTAAATAAATATACAAAACTTGTCTATATTATTTAATGAAACATGCATTAATGAAAAAATGCTGCCTAAACACACAGACATGACAGAATTGAATAGACACCAAGATAAACTTTATTTCTGATTTTTTTTAATAACCAAGATAAATTAACTTAGATTATTTGATTAAAATTGCAGATAACAATATTGGAACATGCCATGAACCAAAGGAGCATCAGACCGATCCGAATTTCAGCGAGGACGTATCGGGGGGCAACATGAAGGTGGTCTTAGTCAAAGAAAAATATCTGAAAATCTTTCAATACCCTTTTCTACTGTTAATAGAGCGATCGTACAATTCACCAGAGAGGTCAAGACGTGCACAAAACTTCACCCAGGCCGCCCTGGGCCCTATGAAAGAACCATGCGTCTTGTCGAAAGAAATGTTGAACAGGATCCACGTTGCAAGGCCTCTGACATAGCAACACAAGTTGATGTCAGTCCCAGAACAGCTGTCAGGTATCTTCACAAGCTGGGCTACTATTGAAGAGCCGCAAGAAGGAAACCACTTCTCCGTCCAGCCAATATCAAACGCAGAAAGGATTGGGCTCATGAGATGGTGGAGAGACCTGTGACCTTTTGGACCACTGTCATTTTCTCTGATGAGTCAAGATTCGCATTATTTTCCGAGAGTGGAAGAGTATGGGTATGGAGACTCAGTAGTCAAGAGTTTGATTTAAAAAGACTGCAGCCAACGGTGAAACATGGGGGCCTTTCTGTAATGGTATGGGGTGCAATTTGTAGTGATGGTCGCTCAGAGCATGTGGAGTGTGAAGGAAACATTAATTCAACCAAATATGTTTCTATATTAAAGAAAGGGCTCCTTCCAATATTCTCAAGCAGTAGAATGAGCAAAGTTGACTCCCTATTTATGGAAGAGAGTGTAAGTATGAGGAGGAGGGAGATTAAACCTTAACAGAGAGAATTTTAGTAGAGATGGGTGGAAGGGGTTTAATTAAGAGAAAAAAATGAATGTTGACGGATGTCTAATGCATAAAGATACATTTCATGGTGACATACACACACCATAGACAATCTAATGTTAGAATAAGAGGGAGGGAAAGACGAGGTGGGGGAGAGAGATGGGACGAAGGAAAGTAAAATTGCGTTTACTTAAAGGGCCGCTTTGTAATTGAGAAAATTTGACAAATTTAATATCGACTACAGGTTACAAATCAAATATAAATATATAAAGATAAATGTAACGATTATCTAATCCAGCAAGGACCTATATTTCTATGTTCAAAAACACATGCGAATACACACAATAACATATACATGTATATACATACACATAGGCGTGTACCAACATACACACATACATATACCCATGTACACACGTATAAAAATATATTCACATCCACCCATCTCTCCTAAAATTCTCTCTGTAAAGGTTTAATCTCCCTCCTACTCATACTTACACTCTCTCTAAATTCTGTTTTTATTTCCGGAGTTGGTACTTTACTGTTTTCTTTTTGAATTTGTAGGCCTGATGAATTGGATCGTATTTACGATTCCAATGGAATAAATTATGACCATGGAAAATTAGTGTTTAAGCCTTTTTATTATATATATATATATATATATATATATATATATATATATATATAGGTAACTATACTCGTTTCGAAAAACCCTCGAATTTTTGATTTGCCAATAATCAAATCAATCCCGAGGGGGAAAAATGTTTTAAAAAAAGAAAGAGCTAGAAACATGAAAGTCCGTCGAAAAAATCGCACAGATACAGGTTTAAAGCCCAAAGAAAAAAAACCCGACACGAGTAAACAACTAACTAACAAAAAGAGCTCAATACAACCGTAGAGCAGACCTAGATAAACCTAGTGAACCACTAGGTTTATCTATCTATCTATCTCTCTCTCTATCTATATATATATATATATATATATATATATATATATATATATATTTGAATAAAAAGACAGACCACGTTAAGATTCCATGTAATAAGCTATTTCACCATAACCCCTTTAACAGGGTTCTGGATCATCAGACTTTACTTCCAAAAGAACCCTGTTAAAGGGGTTATGGTGAAATAGCTTATTACATGGAATCTTAACGTGGTCTGTCTTTTATTCAAACATATCTGCTCTGAATTTTACATTGAGCTCTCTGGATATCATCCTCCTCAGGTCTACCCATACGGATTACCTAAGTTTGCATAAACTATATATATATATATATATATATATATATATATATATATATATATATAGGTTTTAATATGTTGTTCTGTAAAATCTAGAAGAAATGGCAAAGCATCACTTGCAATGAGACAGAAAGAACGGCTGTCAGCAAGAACAGTCCAAAATACAAACTATGAATCAAGCTAGTGGTAAAAAATTAAATACATGAGAAATACTTTAACAAACGATGAAAAAT